CTCGAGACGATGAACACCAACATCAAGGTTCGAGGCGAATATAGGTCTGTTCTGTTGCAGGTAATCAGCATTGTCCCTGCTTTAGCCGGCGCAGAGCTTTGGCCAAACCAAGGCTTTTTCATCAAAGTGTCAGATTCTTCTCACTCCACATATGTCTCGTTGAGGAACGAAGACAACGAACTTATCTTGAACAACAAATTGGGATTGGGACAGTTCTTCTACGTTGATAAGCTTGAAGCTGGAACACCTGTTCCTGTATTGGTGGGAGTTAGACCGATTTCTGGACGCCATCCTTTTGTAGGAAATCCCAAAGATTTGATGCAAATGTTGGTACCTAGTGAGACAACACCTCTGCAAGAAGAAAATCACAACCAGAAGAAGGTGATGACAATATATATATATATATATATATAATACAATATAAGCAGATTCTTTGAGCTTTTACTTTTATAAGAGATCTGTTCTCTAATACAAATTCTTCAGCAGAAAGATGGTGCGAGATCAAAAATGGTTGAGAATACACGAAAACATCAACCTTTTGTAATCAAGGAAGAGAAGACAGGTGTGGCGTCAAGATATATGAAGGGTATTGTTTCAAATTCAAAGGCAAGTGGATCAGACTCGAGTAGTGGCGGTAGCAACAATGAGTCTGAGACTGGATCGATAATGGTTGCTAAGAAAGCTGGTGGATTGGCTAAGGGGAAACAAAGGGAGCACAAAGATCAGGTGTGTGTGTGTGCGTGTTCTTCTGATAAGTCACATCGCACCTCCGCCCTACCCATCTGAGCCGGGGCTGTATGTACACAGGCACGTCAAGCTAATCCTCCACAATCTCGGCCTGCGACAGCTCCAACAAAGGCAGAGTCAAAGAAACTCTCTTTGAGCTCCACTGTGAACTACATAAACAGAAAGAGTAATTCTTCTGAGGATGCATCATGGAGCTCTCTGCCTGCTAGTCTATCAAAATTGGGTAAAGTACGCTTTATCTGATCTCTGTATCTCTCTTTTTGTTTTTGGAATCATTCCCTATTAGGTTATCACTGATAATAATCTCTTAATCCAAAGGGAGTTCTGAGAAGGAGAAATATAGCTGCTCTAATTGCCACAGAAGCGCAAAGAGAGGCATTGGTTGCTTCACATCTTATCAAATGCATCAGGCAAGTTACCTTTGAAACCGACCTGCTCAAAGATTGTTTTCTATGAAAAGTTGTCTTTTGCTTAACCAAAGAAACAATGATTTTGCAGTATGTTTGCTGACCTCAGCTCAAATGCTTCACCAAAGAATCCAAATACCTCTCTCAGAAACTTCTTCACCCTCCAGAGTATCCTTGACCAAGCACAGGTCACAGTTGCAGCATCGAAAGATAAATCATTCCAGCCAGTGAATATTCATTCATTATGGACAGAACCTGAAAAGTTAAGCAAAAAAACTAGCCTAGCTTCAAGCAGAACCACAACAAAGTCTTCAAAAACTCTAACAGAAGCCGAAAAGCTAGAATGGGTTAAGGGAAATGGCACAGAAGAGATAAAAGAACTGAGAAACACTTTGAAACGAGAAACAAGAAGCTGGTTTTTGAAATTCTTGGAAGATGCATTAGATACTGGATTACATGCTAGTGTTCCGGAGAAGAAAGGAAAAACCAAAGGAGCGCGACTAGCGGAACCAGATAATCATATTGCTGAGACATTATCCCAACTTAAGCAAGCAAACGAATGGCTGGAAAAAGTTAAAAATGATAATCTCTCTAGTGATAATTCTTTGTTAGAGAATATAGAACGATTGAAGAAGAAAATATACTCTTGCTTGCTACTTTATGTAGATTCAGCTGCATCAGCTATTGGAGTATAGGCAACCTCGTGATGGACCATACAACCGATATGGTGTGCTAAGCTGCCTAGCAACAATGAAATAATTTTACACATCAAACTAGAACATAAGCTATACTATTGTGTGCGCTAATTTATTGTGTATAATACAAAAAGAAATCAGACATGCAAACATAATGAAGTCTAGTTTCTGTGGTTCTGCAAACTGGTTTTCAATGTTTGACAAAGATCCTGTTTGACAATGACACATGTAACCAACCTAAGATGATGCAAATATCACATATATGAAGGAATGATAAATCCTTTCATAAAAATATATTACTCAAGGCAACAACTACATTGACCTTCATGAAACCCAGAGGCTGTGGTCGTAAACACTAACCTATATAGACCAACTCTCCGATGGATGTGTAGAAGTTTACAAGATGGATGTCAGGTGACAAAATTTATCACATCTTTTAGAGTTTCTACCCACTTGGGCACAATGAATCTTTCCACCACCTTTTAAAAAACCTGACTAGACTCGAGAGGAAAACAAGACAAGTACAATTTCAACCAGAATCGCAAAATCTTCTCCAATTCTTACAAAGTTGAAAAGGTAGAATGGGTTACAGGGAATGGTAGACAGAAGAGATAAATAAACTGAGAAACAGTAATTTTTTGAAACAAAACATAACAATCTAATTAAGAAGAAGCGATAGACACTGGATCCATGCTGCTACTCCGGAGAAGAAAGAGAAAAACCAATCATATTGCAAAGACGTTATAATATAACACAGATCGTGTGTGGAAGTCTTCCTTATAACTGGAAACAAAAACAAATGTGTCCAAAAGTTTCTTCTGAATAGATTCGTTTTCTTCTAATTACCAAAAGATATAGAAATTAAGCAGGTGAAGAGCCTACAATTTGTACATGTTAAGGCACTTCAAAACAGTGCTAGATACATAACCAAAGTTGCTAGCTTTGGGCTAATACTGTCTAAAAGTCAAATTCAGACGACCTGGTCGGAGACTCGTTTCCTGAACAAGAGGCTTGGGGGCAGTATCTTTACGAATTGATCTGACGCCATGGAAGACTTTTCTTGATCTTCCACCGAATATTAGAACATCTCCAGACTCCAAGATTAACGTTTCAGCCTTGTCTTCATCCCTCTGATCACCATACAAGAACTCGGCTGAATCTCCAATAGAAAATGAAACAACAGGTAATCCCTTCCGAATGGAATTTTCGCTCTCATCTTTATCCTGAAACATCAAGGATTGAAAACTCAGGATGCAACCTTTGAGCTTCATGATATCAAGAACATGTTTGAAATACTAACCTGATGGAGACCAAGTCTCCCTGTAGAAGTGTAGAAGTTAACAATACAGATGTCAGGTAACATAAATGGTATTCCATCTTCTCCCTTTGTCTCCTTGGAATTTGATGAGGCCGCTAGGGACTGTGATTCTTTAACTGCTTTCTCAACAAACTGATTGAATTCAGCAGGAATTTTTGGCGGAGTAGAACCATCAATCGGTCGGATTTCTCCATATCGAGAAGTTTCAGGATCCCAGTTTTTCCCAAGGCACATCATTTTCAAATGCAATTTCGTTTCATCCCTGTAACCTGGTTGATAGAAGCCCCCTTCACCCAAACATAGCTGACGGCATTTGTTAACAATCATTACCTACACACAATTTCAAGCACAAATGATACATATAAGTTTAGATATAAACGCAAACACATGTAGAAAGAGGGAAATAGGGAGAGAAAGAGAGAGAGAGAGAGAGAGAGAGTAGTTACTTGATCATTGATTGACAAGTAGTTCTTGAGAAGAACCATTCCAGGTCTAATAACAATTCCAGTGTACCCTTTAGCTGCTTTCTTCTTTACTCTGTTCGTTTCCATAAGACTGGGTTTTAGTACTACCCCCTTCTTCATGAGAAAGAGATCAAAATGTCTTGTGCTGCTTTCATTTGAAGAGCTCCCTGCCTCATCAGCCTTTTGAGCACTCTTATGATCCTCAACACTAGAAAGCTCAACACTTGCAGGAGACACAGACTCCTGGCAAAACAACGTAACATCTTTCGTCCTATTCACAAGATCACAATGCATTTTAGCACCATCCTTGAGACCCTTGTCCTCACATTCGCTAGAGACAAACGAACCTCCACTGAAATGTGTGCTCTTTGAGCTAGAAGAAGTAGATGATTGCGAAAGATTATTGTTATCTCCAGAAGAGTTCAAAGTAGCAACACCATCATCAGGCTGCTTAGTAGAACCTATTATATACTCCTGGGACTTTCTATTCTGTTGAATTCCCTTTTGTACAAATCCCAAATTGGACTTCTTCACGTACACTTGCACTGGACTGTGTTCATCGTTGCCACGCCCATAACTATTTCTAGGAGAACATGATGTTCTACTTCCTCCTCTCCCTCGAGATCCTCTACCTCTATTACCAGAAGATTCATCCAAAGACTTATCTAATGTAACCTGTATAGATTACAAAGGATACCAACCATAACATTAGTAAGCAACAAGTAAAGGGCTAATCAAAGGACTCCAATTTCAAAAACAGAAATGAATAACACAAGAATACGAGACGACAATCAAGTATAAGTAATGTACCGGAACCCATTGCCCAGATGGCTGAGAACGTCCCCGAGAACCCCTGCGGCCACCGGAGCTCCAAGCTTCGCCGTGATTCATCGATTTGACTAGCAAACTCTTTCAAAAAGACGGCAACTTTGGCAAGTAAAAATACAACTGAAGCGTCAACGATTGTGCCCACTTCCTTTTATAGACAGTTTTTGTGCAAGAGAGACTCTTGGGTTTCTGAGCCATTTGGTGTACATACAAGTTAGTAAAACCCTCCGGTCCCCGTGCACCGTCTTTGGCGGTGCTGACTCAGCATGGCATGTCATTGTGACGTAATCCGCTAAACCAAACAAGTCCTTATTCAGATGTGTCTGAATTATTTTGGGCCGATTAATTTAAATAGTAAAGTCCAATGGGCTGAAATCCTTTTCTGTAACGAGAGGGCAAACAAACACTCTAGGCGAGTTAGAGTATTTTTACAAAAAAAAGCTAGAGAGTAGATTTTGTCGTATTTGTGTCATCGACCGGGCCCGGACAATTTCATGATCAAGAATTATTTCCCCGACAAGTGTTTGATTTTCCTTATCTTGTTCGGTTTCATTTACTAGAGGGCTTGAAAAGGTTAGCCTGAACTTCTTGGTTCGGAAGGTCTGTTTCTGCCTCTGGATTTCTTTTGCTGGATTCTTCAGATAAGTGAGTAACTTGTACGATCCATATATAGTGTTTTTAGTGACCGCAGAGCCAATATATTTATTTTGTTATTTAAAGATTGAACATACTACTACAGGCAAATTAGTAAAGTAGACGAATCAAGGCCTCTTAAAGATTGATAATTTCTGTTTAGGTTCTTCTTTACTAGTGTTGTTTGATTCTCAACTTCTTTCCTTTTATGTGATATCGTAGATAGATTAGATGGATCAAATCGTTAACGTGGATGAGTTTCAAGAGCTGGCCAAACAGGCCCTCCCTAAAATGTACTATGATTTCTACAATGGAGGAGCAGAAGATCAACACACTCTCAAGGAAAATGTGCTAGCTTTCCGTAGAATCATGTAACTATTCCTTTTTGGTGGATGGGTCACACTGTATGTAACCTTGTGAGTGACTCCCTTTTTTAGATGTTCTTGATTTTCAGGTTTAGGCCTCGGGTTCTCGTTGATGTGAGCAAAATAGATATGTCTACCAAAATATTGGGTTACCCTATCTCCGCTCCAATCATGATTGCTCCAACAGGAAATCATAAGTTGGCTCATCCTGAAGGTCTGTTTAGTCTGTTTTCATAACTTCTGTTAACGGCATGCAGTTGTTGGATTTGGAAGATTGATTTTTTTGTCTTTTATGTTAGGAGAAACCGCCACTGCGAAAGCTGCTGCTGTGTGTAACACTATCATGGTACTAAGTTGTTGTTTAGTGGAATACATGTTTTGCATTATTTTGGTTTTAAGGTGATGAATAGAGTTTTTTTTCTTATTGTTCTGTGAATTTCAGATAGTATCATACATGTCTTCATGCAGTTATGAGGAGATTGCTTCCAGTTGTAATGCTGTTCGGTTTCTTCAAATATATGTAAGTACACAATCTTTACTTATACCTGCTTTTGTTATTCTTGCAATTATAGTAGGTTCTTAATTCGCTTTTATAGGTGTACAAGAGACGGGACATAACTGTTCAAGTGGTGAAAAGAGCAGAGAAAGCTGGATTTAAGGCCATAGTTCTGACTGTTGATGTTCCTAGACTTGGTCGAAGGGAAGCTGATATAAAGAACAAGTAACACTCTGAGTTTTTGGGAACTTTATCTTGCAGGAATAAGCTTCCCTATCTTATAAAATGTAGTTTGTGAAATGAAGTTTCATTTTTATTCTATAGAATGATATCCCCGCAGCTGAAGAATTTCAAAGGTGTATTTTCAACTGAAGCCCAACCTGTAAGTAGAGCTTGAATTAAGATTCATGTAAAACTGAAACTTTACCAGTTGTTGACGTGATAACTTTTCTCAGAGTAAGGGTTCAGGGGTACAAGCCTTCACCTCTCGTGCATTTGATGCTTCATTTAGTTGGAAGGTAAAATCTTTATACAAAAAGTTTTTCATGACAATGTGAGGGAATTCCTTATAACATTTTCACTGCAAATTTTAGGACATTGAATGGTTAAGATCTATTACAGAGTTACCTATCCTGGTCAAAGGGATACTCACCCGAGAAGACGGTATGATTCTTGTCCCGTACTCTGATATATATAGCCTGTATCATACAATCTTGAAACTCCAAGGCATATAAAAGACTTTTTTATTGGCAGCTCTTAAGGCTGTTGAAGCTGGTGTAGATGGAATAGTTGTATCTAACCATGGGGGTCGCCAGCTCAACTATTCCCCAGCTACAATAACTGTTTTAGAAGAGGTAAACTCATCGAAGCTTGCTTTAGAACAAGCTTATTCTTCTTGATGAACAAACTGGTCTTCTTATGAAACTGCAGGTTGTTCGTGTCGTTAGAGGTAAGATTCCGGTTTTGCTTGATGGAGGAGTAAGACGAGGAACAGATGTTTTCAAAGCGCTGGCGCTTGGAGCACAAGCTGTTCTTGTAAGCTTTGAATGCTATTTTGCATACAATTTTCAGGTTGCTCTGTTGATGTAATGACACTTTCTGGTTGGCTGATGAAGGTAGGAAGGCCTATAGTCTATGGGCTTGCAGCTAAGGGTGAAGATGGAGTGAAAAAAGTAATTGATATGTTAAAGAATGAGTTTGAGATCACTATGGCTCTTTCTGGTTGTCCAACCATTGGTGACATAACCAGAAACCATGTTAGGACAGAGAATGAGAGACTTCAATCTAGGCTCTGATCCAAAAAACCAACAGAGCTGGTCTCAGAAATTTAATCAGACAGCTGAACAACAGTAGCAAGCAGCAGCAATATCAGAAGACTCAGGACTACGCGAGCGATTGAGACAATGCATTCAATCAATGCTATTTGTTCCAGTATGCTTTTAATTAAAAAATCTGGATTCAGTCTATACTCACTATTCATCATTTTGTCTGTAATTATGATAAATATGCTGTATGCTAGTTTGAAAAAATGATGTGTTGTGTTCTGTTCCTACTTGCAAACTGTGTTTAGTGCATAAATTAGTAAATATAAGTGCAGGAGCTGCAGCATCAATCATGAGTTTGATCATAATCTCTAGTACTGTCTAAAAGTCAGATTCAGGCGACCTGGCCTGAGGCTTGTTTTCTGAACACGAGCCTTGGGAGCAGTATCCTTACGAATTGATCTGACGCCATGGAAGACACTTCTTGATCTTCCACCGGATATTAGAACATCTCCAGACTCCAAGATGAAAGCTTCTGCTTTGTCAACATTCCTCTGATCACCAAACAAGAACTCGGCTGAATCTCCTACAGAAAATGAAGCAATAGGTAATCCTTTCCGGATGGAATTTTCGCTCTCACCTTTGTCCTGAACCATGAAGGATTCAGTATTGCAGAAACTTGTTAGACAAAAATCAAATGAATAACAATTCTTGCAAAACTGGTTTGCTTTTATGCTTAAAGAAATTAAAAAAAACTCGTTTTGTGGTAAACACTAACCTGATGGAGACCAAGGCTCCCGGTGGATGTGTAGAAGTTAACAATACAGATGTCAGGCAACATAAGTGGTATTTCATCTCCTCCCTTCATCTTCTTTGAATATGTAGCAACTAGGGACTGTGATTCTTTAATCGCTTTCTCAACAAGCTGACTGAATTCAACAGGAATTTGAGGCGGAACAGAACCATCAACTGGTCGAGTCTCTCCATATCAACGCGTTTCACAGTCCCAGTTTTTCCCAAGGCACATAATTTTCAAATGCAATAACCCTCCATTTTGATAACCAGGTTGATAGAAGCCTCCTTCACCCAAACCAAGCTGACGACATTTGTTCACAAATCATGACCTACAAGCATTTTTAGAAACAGAGAAAGCCCAAATGGATGCATATATGATCAGAAACATAAACACAGAAATAGTAAGAGAGAGTACTTACTTGATCATTTATTGACATTGACAAGAAGTTCTTGAGAAGTACCATTATTTCCAGGTCTAATAACAATTCCAGTGTACCCCTTAGCTGGTTTTCTCTTTTCTCTGTTCAGTTCCAGAATGGAGGGTTTTAGTCCCACTACCTTCTTCTTGAGGAAGATATCAAAAGGACTTGAGTTGCTTTCATTTGAAGAGTTTCCTGCAGTATTATGATGATCCTCAGCACTTAAACGCTCCTCCTTCTCACAAATTCAGTGTAAGGCAAGTATTTGCAACTTTCAAGAAACGCTTGGGTCTCTGAGTCTGAGCATTGTTGTTCGAAGAGAAGTAAAAAAGTTCCCGTTGAAAAATGGCTCTTTGACGATGACTTTTTTACTTGGGTTGAATAGTCAACGTTTATTAAACGATATGGGTAAAGACTCTAGACGACGTAGAGGATTAGAAGGATTTTGTCGTTTTCTGTCTTGGTCTCCGACACTGTTTCTTTCTTCCCTTCATTTCCAAAATCTTTAAGATCTCTAATTTCTTTGTCCTTTCTTTTTCGATATTCAATTGTTTAAGAGTTTTGTTTGATCATACAAGAGACTTAAAACTGACTCTTTTGCTGGGTTCTTTCAGATATGTAAGTACTTCTTCTTGACGATCTCATTAGATCATATGGTTTTAGTTCTGAGTCAATATACTCTCTGTTTTTGTTGTTCCGTGTAATTTAAAGATTTGAACTTACTTCAAGTAAATCAGTTAACACAGACGAATTAACTCCATTTATTAGTTTGATGATAAGGTCTCGTTGAAAGATTTATAATTTCTGTTTCATCTTGATAGAGGAGTAAGTTTCTTTGCATGATTGATTATTAAAGCATTGTTATTTGATTCTCAATGTCTTTTCCTTTTGTGTGATATCGTAGATAGATTAGATGGATCAAATCGTTAACGTAGATGAGTTTCAAGAGCTGGCCAAGCAGGCTCTCCCTAAAATGTACTATGATTTCTACAATGGAGGAGCAGAGGATCAACACACTCTCAAGGAAAATGTGCTAGCTTTCCGTCGAATCATGTAACTTATTCATTTCAATTTCTTTTTGGTGGGTGATGCTATAATATCTTCGTGATTCTTCCGTGTAATATGTTTATATGTTGCTGATGTTCAGGCTTAGGCCTCGAGTTCTTGTTGATGTGAGCAAAATAGATATGTCCACAACCATATTGGGTTACCCAGTCTCAAGTCCTATCATGATTGCTCCAACAGCATTGCATAAGTTGGCTCATCCTGAAGGTCTGTTTAGTCTATGTTCATAACTAGTTGTCAACAGTATGCAAGGCCTGGATTTGGAATTTGGTTTGATTTGTCTTGTATCTATGTTAGGAGAAATCGCCACCGCGAAAGCTGCAGCTGCGTGTAACACTATCATGGTACTAAGGTGTCTATTGGAATGCAATTTTACATTGTTTGGATTTTAAGGTGATCATGATTATGGTGTTTTGTTGTATGATTTCAGATAGTATCATTCATGTCTACTTGCACTATTGAGGAGGTTGCTTCCAGTTGTAACGCTGTTCGGTTTCTTCAAATATATGTAAGTACACAATCTGGATTTTTAGTTTCCTTGGTGCTCGATTCGTAGTTCACTCTAATATCTTTTATAGGTGTACAAAAGACGTGATGTAACTGCTCAGATCGTGAAAAAGGCTGAGAAAGCTGGATTCAAGGCTATAGTTCTGACTGTTGATGTTCCTAGACTTGGTAGAAGGGAAGCTGATATAAAGAACAAGTAACACTCTCCATTACTCTTAGATTTTGGAACTTTATCTTGCACGAATATGTTTCCCTACATTGCTTAATCTTATCTTATGGCAAGTAGTTTCTGAAATGATGTTCTACTATTTTTCTGTAGAATGATATCCCCGCAGCTGAAGAACTTTGAAGGTTTGGTTTCAACCGAAGTCCGACCTGTGAGTAGAGCTAAAATTAAGGTTCATGCAAGTTATACCTTACCGGTTATTAACATGATAACCTTTTTTTAGAATGAAGGTTCAGGGCTTGAAGCCTTTGCTTCTAATGCACTTGATGCTTCGTTAAGTTGGAAGGTAAAAATCTTGTGAATGATTTTATTTGTCCTTAAATACTAAACACAGTGTTCCCATGTGAAGGCATTCCTTGAAATCTTTGCATTGCAAAACTTTAGGACATCGAATGGTTAAGATCTATTACAAAGTTGCCAATTCTGGTCAAAGGGTTACTCACACGTGAAGATGGTAATAAGATCCATGTCTCATAGTATAATATATAGCATGTACCATACTATATCGAAAGTCCAAGGCATATAAAAGAAAACTTTGTTTGATGCTGTTGGCAGCTCTTAAGGCTGTTGAAACCGGTGTAGATGGGATAGTTGTATCTAACCACGGGGCTCGCCAGCTCGACTATTCCCCTGCTACGATAACTGTATTAGAAGAGGTAAACCCATCAAAGCTTGCTTTAAAACAAGCTTATTCTTCTTGATGAACAAACTGGTCTTCTTCTGAAACTGCAGGTTGTTCATGTTGTTAGAGGTAGGATTCCGGTCTTGCTTGATGGAGGAGTAAGAAGAGGAACAGATGTTTTCAAAGCGCTGGCGCTAGGAGCACAAGCTGTTCTTGTAAGCTTTGAATGCTACTTAGCATACATTTTACAGGTTGCTCTCTGTTGATGATGTAATGACACTTTTTGGTTGGCTGATGCAGATAGGGAGGCCAATCGTGTATGGGCTTGCAGCAAAGGGTGAAGATGGAGTGAAAAAAGTGATTGAGATGCTGAAGAATGAGTTAGAGATTACTATGGCCCTTTCTGGTTGTCCAACCATTGATGACATAACCAGAAACCATGTTAGGACAGAGAATGAGAGACTTCGCTCTATGCTCTGATCCAAAAAAGTAAAACCAACAGATCTAGTCTCAGAGACTTTAACAGACAGTTGGACATGAGTCTGAAATACTGTCACAGCACATAAATAATAAAGCTCTATTTCAAGACAAGGGATTAGTACGTTTGGACTTTGCGATGTATTTTTTTTCTGCTTGATTTGCTGGTTATAAACTTATAATAAGCCTATGAGATAAGCGGTTTTCTGAAAGATGATCAACTCTTCGACCAATAGTAGTAAATGGAACTTGAAATCTCAGCATTCGACAAAATTTATCAGAATGTATACATCAGTCTGATCAGCGAATCCCTGGTCTGAAAAGAAGACAAATTACAGCGTAATTTACACGACCAAAATAAGCTGTCTCTCTGGGCATTCAGTGAGGAAGAAGCTGGCGCAGATATAAGGTGAGGCAATATCAAGATGATGAAAGTTCTTCCTGAAGCTCCAACTGGGACATACGATACTCTCTCTCAAACAACATGAACTCCTGCATTTGTGTTGCATCCAAATCGATCAGATGGTTCTCAGTTACTAAGATTCAATGATTTTATTCAGGTGAATAACCAACAATGATGCAGATTACGAAATTGCATTACCAATTCGGAAAGAAAGAGTGGAAAATGGGAGAAAAGATGATGATGAGTCTTTGACTTTGTTTTTCATGGTGTAAAGAATAGAGTATTACTAACCTGTAATTGCTGCCCACTGAACAAAGAGAGAAAACCAGTTTCATCAGAAGCAACAAGCTCAATCAGTTCATCATGATCTTCAGGTGGATTTCCCGACTCCATTAGAGAAACAGAAACCTGCAAATACGTCAATAAATGGAGGTTAATTCATCTAACTAGGGACATGAGAGTAGGTATAAGTTCAGTCTTCTATAGTTCTCACTAATGTAAACGACCAAAGACTTTTCCTTCTCTTCAAAATTCTTAGTAGACACTTTTCTTATAGGTTAAGATGAATTGTGGCCTCAGGTAGAGATACATATGTATGCATCGTTATAATCTAATATGGCAGAGGCTCTACCTGCATAGATCGAAGAACGAGTTCTGGAAGACAGCATCTTCTACAAAGACCCCGGACAATATAAGTAGCAGGTGTTTCAAGCGAGCCTTCTTTGCTTGAATACCAAGCGTCTAGGCGGGATATATCCATTGTAACACCTGCCTGGAACCGTGTAAGCTCACCTGCAGTCAAATTTTAAATTTGTGCTTGTTTTATTAATGCTGGTGAAACATCCCCAAATTTCTATGGAGAAAGGAGGTAAACCTCGGTGAATGAGAAATATGTTTCATAGATATCCGAACCTTTAAAAGCAGCTGCAGCCACTGCACTTAGAATACCACCGTCATTTGCATTATGTGGCCCAAGTCCATCACCTTTAATTGCTAAACACCGGAGCACAACCTCGATGCAGTAGCTGTCCCTTGACGAAATCGATACATTTACCTGAACGAGAAGATCAACACAAACATTAATGTAGTAGACTGCTTTTCGAGATGGTGTCACATCCTAGAAAATATCCAATTTTGTTGCATAACCGTTGTAGATGAAAACTCATGTCCAGGGAAAAAGCAAACTTCTCTATATAACCATGGGTGAAGCAAAAGCAAGGATACAGGTAAAACGAACATATGGAACAAGAACATTGGATGAAAGGAGTACCATTAACTGGCGATCTAAAACAACTTCCTCACTGACAGAAGAGTAAAGTGCACTCATTAGTGCAGCACAAACAGTGGCATCTGGGCGCAGACATTCACCAGAAGGCAAACAGAGCATCGCAGTTGCATGCAATTCAAGGAACATATAATCTTCAGATTCGAATACATGGTCTTCGAGAAATGTCATCCAGGGGTTGTCTTGTCCTATATTAAGAGGTTCAAAAGTATCACAGTTAACAGCATTTTCAATCAATGTAAAAACTGCAAAGTCGTGCACACAAGTCAACCATATATTATAAAGCTTGGCATCACTTACTGAGCAGCAATGACAAAGAAGAATACAGAGTCTCTTTGGCTGCTACAACAGCTTTCTGATTTTCCTCTTCTGACAGTTCAGTGACTTCAGCATTCTCTAATTGGAATTTGAGCCAGTTGCGATATTTTGCATCACAGGAATAATACTCATTCTGTTTAAAGACAAAGAGGTACGTAAAGTTATCTAGACACTGGATGTTTAAATCAAAGGAATAATAAAGAGTAAAATTGCAGAGAAACATACCCAGTCTTGGAACTCTTGTAAATTCTCGGAGACATAATCCTCAAGGGTATCTGGATTTTCTGAGAGTTGCTTCAGAGGTTCAGCAAGAAAACTAAGAAGTGTGTGTGCACCCACAG